TTTTTAATCATGTAGGTTATAAGTGAAGGTACTTTTTGTCGGAGGCCTCGCTGAATTCACCGACGCTAGGCTTTTGGTCTCCCAGCTGTGTGAGCCCATCAAAAGGAAAAGCAGACAGGTTTGGGGGGAGATGACTTGGGTGCCCTGGTGCTGGCGCCTGGTGATCACCACTTCTTTTTTTATGTGCTCACAGTGCCCTAATGATGTGTCCTGGGATTTGCTGGGTTATGCGTCAATCACCCTCGTCTTTGGAACACAATTTTATAATAGCATTGTGGTTAAGCTCGTGGGCTTTGAAGTTGCACAGATCAAGGTCTGAAATCTTGCTCTCCCTCCTACTGCCTTTGGGCAGTTTACACAAGGCCTTTTTCGCTTCAGAGTTTTCATCCGTAAACTATGCTTTCAGTTTCTTCTAGTCAGTGCTGTGGGAAGTGAGACTACAGTCTGAAGGCACATATTTAGGCAAGGGTGGAAAGGAATCCTCTACCTTTCCTCCATCGCAATCATGATAAGCATTATACCTCTGCATCAACAGCAGGGGCCACAGTCTGGCAGACAAAGGAATCTGAGGTTCTGACCAGTTAGACAACAGTCACAAAACTACTTCCAGAGAAAACCCAATGTGTCCTTAAGCTCAGGCAGAATGAGAAAGAGGAAGGTGAACACGTCAGAGCATAGACCTACTTTTAGAAAAACCGTGGACCGGCTGGGCTGCGTGGTGCGCTCACCTTTAATCCCAGCACCTGGGGGCAGAGGCAGGCAGATCTCTATGAGTTTGAGGCCAGCCTGGTCTACAGAGCAAGTTCGAGGACAGCCAAGGCTACACAGGGAAATGGGGGGGCGGGGGAGAAAAAATTGTCAACAAGAACCTGAGTACTGCTCAGAGGCAGGAGTTAGCAACACGTTGCCTCACGTGCACAACACCCTGGGTTTAATCTTTAGCACAGCAAGCAACTGCTAACAAATAAAAATAATTAATAAATAATTAAATAAAAGCTGGATCTGTAGGGACCAGGTACAGACATTTTGTTTGTCTCTGAGACAACAACTATTTACACTGTATCAGACACTACCTGTCGTTTAGAGGTGCCCTGAAGCACATGGGGGATGTGTGTGGATTATATGCGAACAGTCACACTCCACAAGACAAACCACCACATACAACAGTACATAGCACATAGCACACAGCCCCCGCGTGTGGCAGTCCCCATCCGGTCAGCTTGTACAATCAGTGTTTACACACTGGCTGGACCACCTAATGACAAGGTTCCCAGAATGTCTCCCCACCATGAATCCAATCATGGCTGTGCGATGCCGCCTTACTTTAGATTCTGGAATCCATGAGGGTGCTGCAAGCAATCGCCCTTGAATGCAAAGGGACGCTGTGACCTCTGAGAGGATGGTGTGGGCTCCCAAATACTAGCAGCAGTAACTAGTGCTGAACAAGAGCCAGGCCTGTGGTCACCATGGGGAGCCAGATAACATCTCTTAGATTCTGTCCCGTTCTCCGTCCCATTTCAAGAACACACTTCATGCTTGAGGAGAAAAGAGCCAACAGCCCGAGGAGAACCACACACAGGAGAACAGACAGACAACAGGGGAACTCCAGGACGGCTTCACTCTGAGGCCACTGCCCACAGACACCAGGCAGAGGGAGGAAGCAAGAGTGCTTCTTCTAAACCCTGGTGATGGCACCTTAGCCACAGATGACCATAAGCAAACCCTGAGAACAGGAGACTCAGGCACACAGAAGCAGCTCTCAAAGTACAGCCATCTTCTCCTCTGCCTCAGCTCTCCAGACTCCTAAGTGAGGGTGGTAGGACCTGGGGAAGGGGTGAAGAGCAGGTCTTCTGATTCCCACCGGAGAAAGCAGCCTTCCTTTCCTCTGCCAGCACCTCTTGTTCCCCACCCACACAACACTCCCAGACTCCCAGGGCCCATTGCCTCCTCCATTCTCTCCCTTACCCAGCACCCAGTACTTAAGAGAACAAAGGTGTCTACAGGTACATTTTGCCTAGCGGGAGAGGAATGGGATCTGAGGAAAAGAGTGAACAGGCCACTCATTCACAGAAGCTGGAGGTTGGGGGAGAGTGGGAGCGGGGAGTGAATGGTGAAAGAGCTCAGGAAGATGGGCTACGCTGCAGAGGACTGACGGTGTGGCTCCCCAGCGCATCCATGGAGGACTGTCCTGTGTTCAGTCAGGCAGCCCAGCGCTTCTGCAAAGTCAGGCAAGACCCCACTTAAAGCAGGGACTCTCCTGATTTCGCAACCCCCAAATAATTTCATCATCTTCCTATTGGTCTCAGGGCCTTCTAAACTCAAAAACTCTTTATTGTTTGATCCGAAAACCACTATGGATTTACTAAAGTCTCCTATGCAAAGTACTCCTTTGAATCTTAGGAACAAACCTGGGTCACACGTGCCATTCCATTTCACAGCCAGGAAAACTGAGATTTCCTGGGATTGGACAACATCTCAGATCACCTGTCTAGACAGTGGTGGCCCTGGGCCTTGGTTCTACGTTGAACCCCGCTTCCCATCATCACATCACAGAACTGGCCTGCAGATCAGTTTATCTGCCCTGGCCACCAGCTTGGGCAAAACAGATGCCCTTCTAAATGCCCACTCTGTGCTTGCCCACACTACACACAGTGGCCCTGAAGTCAGGGACTGTGACTTGGATCCTTCTCAATGCCTGCCGAGTGCTTGGTCATTGGGTACTTCGTGAATACCTGTTATGCAAATGGGTGACTGAAAAAAAATGGGTGAATGTTTGACCAATTAACAGATGGCTATAAAGACTCAGGGTGGTGAGGCCTAACTCCCAAACAGCTGATCTTGACCCACGGCCTCTAAGCTCCCAATCCGCCTCTCTACAGTTAGGGAACACTGAGTCTCGCCTAAGAAAATCATTACTTCATAGGCATATATGCAACTTCACAGCCACCACCAAACATTCAGCAGGGACCTAACCATTCAGACAGACTTCTCAGTTCTCATTAGTGGCCATAACAACTGGTATCCACACACCTGCTCAGACCTGGGCAGGGCACACAGAGTTCCAGGATACATGCAACGGGGAAAACAACACAGCCAGAGTTACTCCCACCCACCATGGCCACGAGGGACCGGCATAATCAGCCTTGGAAAGGAGGCAGACAAGTAACAACCCAGAAAGCTGTGGTTAGCGGCGCCCCTGGGGGCCCAGCGTGACCTGAGCCAGGCTCTGTGACAGAAGCTGCCCAAGAGGCAGCAGCCACACAGACTGGTCAGGAGATGTGCCAGGGCCGATCTACAGACCCCACTGTGAACAGGCACTCCCGGGCGATGCCAGGGAGGAGCAATCAAGCCGGGGGTGGAGGGCATACCTGAAGACTTCCTGGACGTAGGAAAGTGAGCTACAGCTCACTCGCTTGAGGACACACTGCTGTGTGTGTGTGTGTGTGTGTGTGTGTGTGTGTGTGTGTGTGTGTTCTCATACCCAGAAAGACTAAGTTCCTTAAAGGAATCGAACACATCATATTGGTCTCTGAAAGCACTTCTGGGCAGTGAGCGCCTGGCCCAGCACTGGTACAGGGTTCCTTCAGCCAAACTGGAAAAAAGGCAGAGAGAGCCAACACACGAGAAAGAAACCCGCAGAAGTAAGAGTAACCCAAGGGATGGAGCACAGATGAATGAGGACCTACGCGGAAGACGAGGTGGTGTTACTGGTGAAGAGTAATCCAGCAGGAGCCCAGGGACCAGAGAGGTGAGCCCCACCCTGGCTCCGTGGGGGAGTGGGAGGGTGGTAGCCTAGAGAGGATACCGAGTTCAGCCACCTGAGGACCCGCTTTCAGTATCAGCAAGTCTTTGAAAGGGAAGTCAGGAAGGGCAGACTTGGAAGGGGAGAAAGAAAAACAGTCCTTAAGACCACACGACAAACAGCAGGCTACCTGCCGAGGAGGCCGGAACCCCAAACAGGCAATTACTCCACAATCACAAACACCCTAATTACAGAAAGGAAAAGAAGGCGGCAGCAGGTGGCGAACGCCGGAGCACAGCTCACAGCGGGGCAGAGGCACAGGCCACCGGGACTCGGCCACAAAGTAAGGCAGGAGGCTCGCCGTCCTCCCCAGATCTGCTCTTCTCCGGAGTCACCACCGAAAGAGTGCATGAAAAAGTGGCGGAAGGGGAAGCTAGGCTTCAGGAAACCGCCTCGGCAGGAGCAACAAGGCTCGCTCACCGGCCTCTTGCTGCGATTCAGGAAAATGCCAGCCTGGCTGCCAGTCCCTCCAGGGCCCTGGCCTCACCGCTTGCCCCCGTGTGTGTCCTCCAGTAAAGCGCTTAACTGCCTCCCCTGCTCCGTACAGTAACGTGCAATGCCTCTGAGGTCTCTCAAAAGACTTCTCGCACTTCTGCTTCCCGCTTCAGTGTCTTGCAAAAGGCGCAGGGCACAGGCTTCCTCGCCGCTGGCCAGACGGCCACCTTCTCACCGGCCAGCATGCCCTCAGCCCCACGCTCTGTGTGGACAAAGCTCTGCTCGGAGATCACCCCGCTACGAAAGATCCCAAGCGCCTTTCGACCAGGAAGACTAAAACGAGTTTCTGCAGAGACCAAGGACAAACAAGTCTCCAAGACACGGGTACGTCCTTGCCATGGCCCAGACCACCCCCTCGGAGCACTGATAACCCCCGAGCAATGGGGGCCCCTCCCTACGGAGGCCCTCTCTGCGAGTCAGCGAGGAGGCAGGAGTTGCACCCCGACGCCCCCAGGCCCTGGGGCTTCCCGCCTCGTCGGTGGCCAGCGCGAGGCAGCTCTGGGGCCGAGGTCCGAAGAGCCCCGCCCTGCCACCAGCGGCCAGGCACCCACCGAACAGGAAATTCCACCTGTGCGCCCGAGCCCGGGACACCCACGGGCCGTGGAGCGGAGCTCAGGCGAAACCCAGAGGCCCGGGAGCAGGTGAGGGGGCGCGCGGATCCGGAGAGTGGACGCCCGGCCCCGGGTCCCCGGCCCTCGCCCACCTCTAGCCTGGAGCTGTACTTGAGTCCCGCGCTGAAGTCTTTCGATCCCCCTCCGGCCTTGCGGCCCCGGTTGCTCCCCATGGTCTCGACGCCCCGATCGCTCGTCTCAGACGCGTGGTCCCTGCGGGCAGCCGACTACCATGGCCCGCGGAGCTTTGGGGACACGAGGGACGAGGGGCGCGAGGGGAGGCACGGGCCAAGTTCCGGGGCAGGCCCAGGGCGCCGGGCCGGCGGCGGAGGCTCCAGTTCTCATCCTTCCTCCCCGCGCAGGTAGTTTCAGGGTGTGGCCTCCCAGGTCGCCCCGCCCCGCCAGCCAGCCAGCACCGGTGCCCGCACACCTGTTGCGGCCGGTCCCGCCTTCCGCCATGCCCCGCCCCCAGGAAGCTCCGCCCCTCCCGCCAGAACCCCGAAAAGGAGCGCCACAGATTTCTGGCTCTTTTCTTCTTCCTGTTCATTGGCGTCTCTTTCTCCTTGAGCACAGCGGGTCAGCCCAGCCGTTGGATACCGACCATCTCTAATCTCTCTCCCTGGACCTTTCCCTACACGCAGTCATCCTACCAGATGCCTGTGTCTCAATTATTGTCCCTCTAACACCTGCTGTAGGACCAGGCCTCTCCGGTATGCCACTTGCCACCCACAAACGCAAGGACCTTCCTCCTCCCGGGGCCAGCAGCAGATTCGTCTCTGTGGCCTGTGCCCAGGGAAGTGACAGCAGTCCTCAGAGTCATCCTCCAACTGTTTGCAGCATCAGACGCTGACCGCAGATCCCTTCTTGAACGGGGCCTTTTCTGTACCTTTCGTCATCCTTTCTGACTCCTAGACTCATGGATCCCGACATTCGCGCCCTTTTTTCTACGCTCCCTTTAATTTTTGTTTTGTCTTTGTTGTGTTTATTTGTGTGTTAGAGAAGAACTTGCAAGGAATCGGGTCTCTCCCACCATGTGGGAGAATGGAGGGTCATCAGGCCTAGCAGTAAGAGCCCTCCCTGGCCGAGTCATCCTGCAGGCCCCTACACTTTTTGACAGCTCACCTCCGATAAGGAAACCTGCCTGCCTTCCCAGCACAGGCATGGAAAGTGCTCACTCTGCTTTAGCAATCACCTGCGTATTTCTCCACTGGTATTCTGCAGTCTTGCACAGTGAACCAAAACTCCTGAGCTCATGGGAACTACTGAGCTCAGTTTATGCTAAACACTGTCCTAGGTGTTGGGAAACAAGAGTGAGCCATATTAAAGCCCGTACTTTGAAATCAACAAGCCCCAAATTTCCAGCCAGAAGTCATCCCTTCTTCTTACTATAACCTGGATGAGTGAGGTCCCTCAGCAGCCCCCTGCTGATGTGTGATGGATATAAGGGATGTGACAATTCTGGTGATATTACACCAATGAGCATTGGTGGTTGTGTCTACTGACATAGACTTGTTCTACCTTGATGGATAGACGACTCCCACCGTGAGACTCTTTGAACCAGGACCCGGTTGTTCCATACCCCTATTGTTGCGCTACTGTGTCTCACTGACCTGAGTCCTCTGAGTCTTAAGTTGCGTCAGTTTAATGCACAGGAAAATAAACCTGCCATCACACTGTATACAAAGCATTCCGGAGCCAAATGGAACATATTGAAAAATAATTTCCTGCTTAGGATTACTACTGAGACAACACCCTTTAATCAGTGAATGACTGAAAGTTAGCCAGATTGGAGGCAGCAGAGACCGGAAGGTACTCAAGGTACTGAACCTGCTATTCTATTGCGAAAGGAATGACTCACTCTCTCCCGAGTTCCTACAGTTTCGTCCCTTCTCTTAAAAAGCTATATATATATTTTGTCTGTGAAAGGCACTCATGTGGTCATTTGAACATAAGGCAATGCCACAAACTTGTTGCAAATCCAGGGGAAGAGTCACCTTCTTGTGGCATGTACACCCACTATGCATGCCTACGACATCCCATGACCTACAAGAGGACAGCGCAGGCTTTATGCTATCATCTTAAACCTGCTTTGTTTAATCATGTAAAGTACGTATATATGCTGCCTACTAAGTTCCAAGCCAGCCAGCTTACATAGTGAGACCCTGTCTCAATAATAAACCATACTCATGATGTTAGGTTGTCTCTAAATTGTTAATGAAGAACCCCAACAACAGCCAGTCTAAACCCCGAAAACCTGAGCTGTATCTCAGTGACAGTGTACCCATGATGACTGTTCATGCATTTGATAACCAGCATTACACACAGATGGAGAGAGAGGCTTCAGTCCCTGTCATTTCTTAGTGTACAGGGCTAACTCACAACCAAGTTAGCCAGCCTTTACCACACATGCATGTGTGGTACCACGCCCCTCCCTATCCTGGACCAGTTTAGACCAAAGCTGCTATAACATCTCTCCCTGCACTTCTCAGAACACTCTGCCCGTTGGAAAAGTGGAGTTCATGTTCCTAGGACCTTTGGAGGGTTTCTCCAACTCACTCATGTCCTTGGAGCAAGTCATTTGGAAGGTAGACATACGTGGGCCTGACTCAGGCTAATTCACCTGCTTAAGCTGGTGATAATATGGGAAGGTGAAGCCATGGCATATGGACCTGGCTCAAGTTTAAACGCACCAAGACAGTAGGACCAGGAAGTGTGAGGGCTACTCCCTCAAGGAAGAAAAAAAACCCTGCAGCAGTAAAGAGATTTAGAATGAACACAACAACTCAGAATGAATCGGTCAAGAACCCCTCACCCATGAATGTATTCACATCTCCTGGAGCAAGAAAGGTCATCTGTTTGACAGGTTGTTATTGCATTTACCTTTGTGTGTTAAAACTGTACTTTCCAAGCACCGACTGTATTAGTATCCCCATGCTAAGTCCACTTGTTCCCTTCATGACCCCCTGCTTTCACCAGCCACCCCATTTGTCCCCACCCCTCCCCCTGCTCACCAGAACCACTTTGCCTACTCCTGGTGAGACCCAACTTCACCTGGCACATCACAGACAGACAGACAAGCTCTCGAGATCTGCCCATCTACAGTGCACACTCTGTATTGTCTTGTCTGTCTGTCTGTCTGTCTGTGTGACATCTTCCCCAAGCATAACCAATCTCTTTTTCCTGAAACTGCTGCACATCTTATAGAATATTTTTATTGTCCTCCCATACAGAAGGATTCTCAAAATGCTGTTGTGAAACGGAATGAGCGGTGACAGTTCATGAAGCTAAATATCAGCATATTAGGCTCTCACTCGAGCTGTTGCTGCGTTATTGCACATACGGTTTAGAAACAAAGTGTACTGTAGTTTTATGGGGATTAAACCAAATGGCTTGAACTTAATTAGCATAGGACTGAACTGTCATGCACAGAGTGTGCTCAATATCCTGATCCCACATAGTGAACCCTAGGAAGGATCTTGGCTGACATCTCAGGATTTGTAATGAACGCATTATGTTCAAATCGCCACATGAGTGCCTTCCATGGCTAAGACACCCATGTAGTTCTAGGAGCTAAAAGAGAAAGCTCTAGAAACCTGGCTTATGGAGCTGCTCTGCTTACAGCAGAATAGCACTTCTGAGCACCATCTCATGTCTGTGGCTCTGGACAGCCATCTCCATAAGTGGTTTCTATTCAGTCAGCCTGTTCTGGGAGCGCTGCTCACTTCTTTCTTTACTTACCAACCCACCGACAAACAGCAAAAGCACCAATCACTAGCCTGACAATTCTACCTCCAATATATGCTCGCAATCTATCTGCTCTGCTTCTGCCACCCCGACCCAAAGCTACCGCCATCTCCTCCAGAAACACTCCCCTACAGCTGGAGGGCTTTTCTTTATCCAATGCTCCCCTCTAATCCATTGTTTTCTTTGTGATGCTGGGAATCTCAGGCTCTCCTGCACTGAAGGCAAGCATGCCGCCCACAGAGCCATGCTCCCCATCCCAACACCAGTCTTTTGGGACCACGGTCAAACGCAGTTCAGCCAGTCACTCACTTCTCCAGACACAAAACTCCCAAAGGCAAAGATTAGCATCTGTCTCCCAGCACACGCAGTGAGTCGTAGTTATTAAAAGGTGAGTATGTAAAAAAAAAAAAAAAAAATGACAATAAACACTGCCCAGTCTTCAGTTATCACCTAACTCTTCAGTAATTAATATGGTAAAGATGCAGGAGACAGCATAAGATGGATATTGTCTACAGCCCACTGGCTAACTGTAAAGCAACACTTCTGTGATGGACATCTGAGTGAGAAAATACAAATCGTCTCTCTCCCTCGTCTGAAATACTCGGACCCAGATTTTTCTGGCACTTGAGAATACCTGCATATATATACATATGTATGTATGTATGTATGTATGTATGTATGTATGTATATACATAGATATGTAGGACAGGACCACAGAATTCTTTTCATTTATACTTAATATGTATAGCTGAGTATAATCTTATACACCATTTGTAGTTCGCGTGCAATCCATTCCAGGTATGGAGTTTCCCACCTGTGGCATACCGATGCTTAAAAACTTTTCTAGTTTTCTTTTTTCTAATAGGGTTGGGCTCTACCTGTAGAGTTAGTTAGTTAGTTTGCTTGCTTGCTTGCTTGCTTGCTTGCTTGCTTGCTTGCTTGCTTGTGACGAGTCTCACTACGTAGCCCAGGCTGGCCTGGAACGCACAGAGATCCACGTGCGTGTCGGGATTAAAGATGTGTCAACGTGCCTGAGAACCTGTAGAACTTCATCAGCTGCCCCTCAAGCCACACACCTGTCCCCAAAGTAATTGCTTCTCTCACCGCTATGTGTTGCAGGAGATTTGCTCCCATTGTGGGCCCCGAAATTGTGAAGTGTAAAGACCTGTTTCTTGTTTAGTGTGGTTCAGCCCTAACAAATACCTTTAATCCAAGAATTTGATTGTAAACAGGTGATTATGGTATGTCTCAGCCCTAGCACACACTTTTAATCCAAGAGCTTTCTGTACAAAGGATTTAATAAAGGTAACCCTAGGTCAAGGCAGAGCAAGTAACCAGCTGACAGGATGGACATTGAGAGGGGGTATTTAAGACAATGTGGAGAAATAAAAGCAGCTCTTTGGCTTTCTGGCTTTTAGCTATTTCTTCCCAGGCTCTCTGGTGACCTGGCACACATTTTCTTCCCGGGTTGTACTGCTCTCCAAGCTTTGGGGTTTTACCTTTAGCTTTTTGGCATTTGGCTTTTTCCTTCTATGACGTGAGCTGAGTGAGAAGGTCAGCTGGGTGCTTTCTCTCCACCTCTCTGAGCAATATCCGGCTCCTGAGTCTTTATTGGCATTTTCTTTCTCTATA